CGCCGGCCCCACCCGCGACAACATGCCCGCCGGTCTCCTCGGCGCTTACACAATCCGCTCCCCTGCTCTGGAATCCCCTCTCCGTCTCCCCTACGGCGCCAATTTTGACCGCCACCTCATCATTTTCGACCGCAGCTTCCTCTCCGACGGCTCCCTCTTCCTCAATTCCACCGGCAACAATCCCTCCATACACCCACAGTGGCAACCCGAATACTTCGGTGATGCCCTTATTGTCAACGGAAAGGCTTGGCCTTTCCTCCGCGTCCTCCGCCGCCGCTACCGTTTCCGTATCATCAACGCAAGCAATGCCCGCTTCTACCGCCTCTCCTTCTCCAATTCCCTCGCCTTCCTCCACCTCGCCTCCGACTCCATCTATCTTCCCCGCCCCGTCCCTTCCCGAAAATTCCTCCTGGCCCCCTCTGAAATTGCTGATGTCGTCGTCGATTTCACGGATTCTCCCACCGACTCCGTCGTCCTCCTCAACGACGCGGCTTACCCATTCCCTTCCGGGGAGGAGCCGGACAATTTCAGCGGCAAGGTCATGAAATTTTTTATTGCATCCCCCCAATTGAAGCATCGAGACCCATCGCAGGTTCCGCGGCAGCTACTTCCTTCGCCGCCGCCTCCCATTCCAACACACCGCGCCGTGGCAACGCGTTACATCGCCATGTATGAGTACGAGAGTGCCACGGGCGAGCCGACCCATCTTTACATCAACGGTCAGCCGTTTGATGCGCCGGCCACGGAAACTCCGCGGTCGGGAACAAGCGAGGTGTGGCACGTGATCAATCTGACGGAGGACAACCACCCTCTGCACATACATCTGGGCCTCTTCGTGGTGCTGGAGCAGCGCGAGCTGGTGGAGCTGGAGAAGTTTAAGGGCTGCATGATGAGGAAGAACGACGCGGAGGAGTGCAATCTGAAGGAGCACGCGAAAGGGCGGTTCGAACCGGTTCCGGCTCATGAAAGGGGTTGGAAGAACGTGTTCAAGATGCAGCCCGGGTTCGTGACGCAGATTCTGGTTCGGTTTGCGATGCTACGGTCCGAGGAGCCTTACCCGTTCGACGCCACTGCCGAGCCGGGTTATGTCTACCACTGCCATGTATGCATCAACGCACCATTATCCACTATTCACAATCTCCCCTTTTTGTTATTTTTTGAGGAATTAAAAGTTCTTGTTTTATTTGTATGTTGATTTCAGATCTTGGACCACGAGGACAATATGATGATGAGGCCATTGAAGCTTTTGGGTTGAATGGAAGTCAAATGTTTTGCTGCCTAAAGAGTTCTTCAACCTCCGCGGAAAGAAAAAATATTATATCAGTAGTCCTGATGCAAAATTATATCAGGACTCCAATCACAATATACTTGTGTACGGTTTGAACCTGTTGAATATAAAATACTAAATAGTTTAATGCATGACGGGATTTGACTATACACGTGGCAAATTGTGATCGGAGTCCAGATACAGTTTTGCATCAGAACTCCTGATATAATATTTTTTCCGGCGAAAAGGATGAAATGGGTGAGAAATTACGAAGGTTTTTGTTTGCTGGTTATGAAAGTGTTATTGTGGCTGATAGGATTAGTAAATTTATAATGTGTACCTGTCATGCAATGCTCATTAAACTAATGATAATGTACATTATTTCCCGTAAAAATTTTATTATATTGTTGTATATGGTGGCAGAACTGCAGACGTTGGGTTTAATTCAAATGTGAGTCCATGCAATTCTCTTTAAACTAATGAATATTGTTATACATGGTGGTAGAACTGCAGACGTTGGGTTTAATTCAAATGTGAGTGAGAAAAATGTGTCATATTATTTTAGAAGGTGATTTGATGATCAATTTTATTAATTTTATATAATTGCAGTCTAATTTCCTCAATTTTTAGAGAGTAAAACCTTCAATAACTCTAATTCTACTACTGCCTATATTCATTGAACAAATGCCTGAAAAAAAGCATTTATGGCTCATGCTTATGATTTTGCATGTCTCATCCGAGAATAAAATGAGTACATTATTATCGGTGCTTTGCTATGTTGATCGGCCATTCTCCTGGACATGATGATTAGGCAGTTAATTAGTGTAAAGCGTGGGGCATTCCTCAAAGGGATATGCCAAATAGCTTGATAACAAATGAAACATATTAATGTATAACTTCATGGCTATTAAAGAGTTCACGCTTATTATTTTTATGGAGCCTGTAACTAAACTCACCCTTGTATTTTGGACTGATCATTCATTTTAGATTTTTATCATATATATGTAGTCAACCAACAAGTGTTGAGTATTTGCTAATAAATAGTTATTATGTTAGGTTATCCTATTGATGTTTCATCAATAAATTTTTATATTGAAGCATGAATCTCGATGGATTTTGAGCATAATATTTTAAATAAAAATTCAAGATTATTCAAAGCCTAAATTTCTTCAATTTTATAGCCAAAAAGAGCACCTCGATAAGATGAACCTAAAGATGCAGAAAGGGAATTAGCCCAAGTACATATAAGCTCAGATAAAAAACATTAAGTGTCATCGAAACAATTATTCAATTTTATAGTCAAAAAGAGCACGTCGATAAGATGAACCTAAAGACGCAGAAAGGGAATTAGCCGAAGTACAGATAAGCTCAGATAAAAAACATTAAGTGTCATCGAAAGCTTTGGTGCATCAATTGAAGGTCAAACGATCTTAAAATTTTGCATGTTTCTAGTCAAATCAACTGTCTTAACAAGAGGAATCCAACGAACATAGGATCATTCAAATATGATGTTACTAAGACACTTAAATTGTGGAAACAATCAGGAGAATCACTCATAATCCATGATTCTAGGGAGGAGATGACTAAGAGGACTTGAGATATGACATCAATAACTGTGTTCTCAATACTTGTTTTTTATTTTAAAATGAAAAATAGTCTTAAAGAAAACTTAACTATTTTACATATGTTTAGCCAAAAAAAGTTTTAGGTGTTGATATATTTTAATGCATGATACTCAAATATAAGAGAAGTTAATTATGTAATATATAGTGTCACCAATATTTTAGGGATTATATGATAGAATATAATCCTCTAACATAAGTGGGTTGCTATTCATTTTTCTAAGCAATCTGTTGATTTTCTCAACTAACACTCAACTTATACTTATCTCTGAGGCATTCTAAGATATTTTTAAAAGGCCTGACGAAGTTATACAACTTAAGTATAGGTGAGGAAGTCAGGAGGACTTTAATTTTAGTAAAGGCTTTAGCCATTTTTGTTTTTTGTTGGTATGAACATTTTCCTTATAGAAATTTATATAATTAGGGCCATGATATTGCTAAAAACTTAAATAAATATTTTATAAAATATGGCAAGTAAATTAAAATTTTTAGCATTAATGAATATTGATTTTTGTGTTATACATTTCATGATTGACTTGAGTTTAATAGAACTAGTTTGGAGTCTATATATAAAATTTCTAAAGCCCAAGGATATGAACTCTTTCCAAAGAAATAAGCAATTCTAATGTTGATAAAAATATTTTCAAGCCCTAATGTTTCAGACTCCAGTTTAACCTTTCTTAAATGTCTTTTTATTCATGTTTAAAATTAATTTTTTTTAAATCCACAAATTTTAGAAAAAGACTTTTGAGTGAGAAAAAATTAGGAAAAATGACTAAAAATAGATGGTTTTTTAGTGTACTTTTTATAATATTTGCGTAATTGTGTATATTATGTGTAGGTTTGCCCCAAGGAATGAAATCAAGAAAATGGTTTGCCAATGAAACTATGAAAATTCAGTGAAGTTTACTAGAACACCACATTTCCAAGTATCAGTGTCACGGAAAGAGTCCCCAAGCAATTTTTTTCTCGGGAGCCGAATTCCTATGTGATATGTTTGAAATGTGATGCTGTGATATTTTTTTTTCTTATGGTTTTGTGCCAATATTTGTATGTATGTGTGTGTGCGCGCGAAATATATGCAGATAAAAACTCAAACGTGGAAGATATTTAACCCTTTGAAGACTAGCGCCTAGCACTAGGAGGATGCACGATGGTTCAAGAATTGAAGCATCACAGTTTCATTTGGCTCAACTTCCGAATAGGACATTTTCATCCAAAAACCTGATAGCCCAAAAACTAGCGCACAAAACTCTAGCAGCGCTCCTGCACCCTCAAAAGTACAACCATAATGGTCCACACCCAAATTTAAAAAATAGAATTCATTAAAGGTGGCACTTGGACCGAAAACCCTCGTGTTCAATGATAATGCCCAGACACCACATTAACACGACCCGACGCTACACATGTAACATGTCGCACTATATTAGTAATGCCTCAATGTTGTCCATCAAAATTTGGTACTTATATGGTTAAAATGATAGTTTGGTTAAATAAATTTTCAAAAAACACTAGCATAAAGAATGGGGAGGAGGGAAGGAAGTGTGGGAGAGTTTTCTAGAGAGAGGATTTTCACTTGGTTTGCTATGAGGAGTGAGTGTGTGATTATATCAAACAAAATGAAAAGATTTAAGACTGCAATTTTTTTGTTAAAGCATGATTTTGTTTATCTAGTTTTTATATTCCTTTTAATTTGTATAAATTGTTTGGATTATTAATACAATTCATATTTTTATTTCAAATCATGTTTAGCACTTAACATTTTCTATTCATTGGTAAGGTTTTCTTTAAAATTTTGGGCACTATATGTTAGAGACTTGAAATTTAAATTCCTATGTTGATGTTTTAACTTTCAAACTTAATTAAAATTCAAATTGGCCAATTGAATTGTCAAAAACTGTTATAATCTAAAATTATCAAAAGAAAACTAGAAGTACAACTAGGTTAAAACACAAGTATTTAGTAGTATAAGAATATATCAAAAGATATTTATTTTCAGTTTGGGGAATGTGAATGCTTGGGAATTTTTACAGAGTTCAAAAAATTTAATCATATTATATTACTCCATTACTAGTTAAATCTTAGAAGAGAATAAGAAGTATTAGGTCTCAATTATCGACCATTTACTAAAATCAATTCAAGGGTGATTTTCAAATGAAGAAGAAAACTCATTCACCGTAGTGTTTTTACTTTAAAATTAATGTTTAGAAACTTTCCAAAAACTCAAATACCATAAATTTTAGAACTAAAAATAGAATTAGTAAATTGGTTATTAAATTATTTTGGAAAATAACTAGTTCATTATGGGATTAATATCTGAACTCAAAATTCATATACTACTTGATTGATACATATACATGCATAGTTAGCATACACATCATTGTAAAATAGATTAAAATTTTTTGGATCATTCCCAGAAAACAACAATAAATTTATAATTATGATAGCATTAGTTAAAAAATTGATGTTTAGGTTAAAAAAATGTAGTATTATTTATTCCTTGTGCTTTATTTATGTTATTCTTTGTTTATTTATTGTGATTAATTTTTTTTAATTATTTTATTTTGCATTTTAAAAAAAGGAAAAAATAGTGAGTATTGCTTTATATTTTTCTATGAGTGTTGTGTATTATTGTTCTTATTATTAAAAATTACTATTTGCTTATTTATCAACCTTATTTTTATTGATTTTTTTATGTGGTGAGATAATTTTTAAGATGGGTTTGATATCCATCCTAAATCTCAAAAGATTTATATCAAAACTATCACATGCATCATTCAAAGGATAATATACTTTCTCGAGGGATAGAAGTAATACCTTCAAATAAATTTAATCACTTGAATGGAAAAAAAACTTCAAGATTTTTAGGTTTACGAAACCACGAGTTTTTCTCATACCATACAGGTAATTTTTTATCATGGGGTTTAGTATCTATATAAGGGGAAGCTCTAATATTTAATTAAGTCCTAAGAAATATGGCTTATATTGTGCATGGTTATATGATAAACATCATAAAGATAGATGTTCCAAAACTTAGCTTGATAGACTTTCATTTTGAAATAAATTTGTGAGGAATTGAAGGGTTGTGATTTATTGTTCATTGATGAAGTGTCGTGAAAAAGCCTAGAAAAAAGAGTTAGTCAACTATTGAATTAGGCTTACCCGAGGATTTGAAATTGATAAGTTTCTTAAGCAAAAGTTTTATTTTAATTTGAGAGAAAAGGTTTGAATAGATAAATTTGAATTAGTATTAATTTTTGATTGATTGATTTGTTTTGGATTGATTGATTTTGGGTTAAAAAGTATTTAACTTGATTCACATTCAAATAAAAAGATGAATATGGTTATTAATCCAAGGCAAATAAACTATGAGTGGTCGTATATCATCTGTAATTAATCAAAACTTAGAGATTATCTGGGGTTGTGAATCTTCAAGATTCTCCTATAGATTTCAATGACTAATTCTAGAAAGTAAGATTTATTCTCTTTAGTCAAAGCACTAAGCACTAAATCAAATATGATGAAACAGGATCATTAAGTCACAAACAATGGAGCTCAATTATCATTTGTGTTGGTTTTAAAGGCTTAACCAAAAAAAGTTCTTAAGAATAATGTCATATATCTTGATTTTCATTAGCCAAGGCACTGTTCTGCCAAATTTAGTATTTCAACATAGCAATGAACCCTAGAAACTTAAGATGGTGACACAAATAGTGTGATCACATCAATGAGGAAGCAAGCAATGGCAAGAACAATGTTCAGACCACATTAAATAAGGACATTGTAACTTCCTGTTGAACTCATTTTTATGAGGTCAAATTCATCTC